CAGAAGCACCAGTCCCCAAGCTAGTCAAGTAGGGGCGAGTCGTGAGGGTCGCCGTCCTACAGTATTCCTGCTACTCCTGTGTTTCAGGATTATGCCTGCCAGGTGGTGGTGGCGACAGTCGCCTCCTGGCCTGCATCGGAGGGGGCGGAGGGGTCCAGGAGGGGGAAGGGCGAAGGGGACTCAAGGGAGGAAAGGGGGAGGTCAGTGGAGAGGGTCTGAACGCTGGCGATTCGTCGAAGCAAGGTTTCGAGCTCCAGATCGGTTTCGGCCGCTTCGCCAGAAACATGAAACATCGAAACAATCGATCCCCTGCTTTGTACTTCAGGATGGGGGCGGCGGAGCTACGCTGCAGATTATTTAGCGCGTCATTATTCAGTTGACCACGAAGTGCCATATCTCTGAGCCGCTCCGAGCCCGCAATTTCATATAGCCGAGCTTTCAAAAATCGTCGCCCTCCTGCTGCTTGGTGCCGCCCTTGCCCTTGCCCTTGCTGCTCTTGACCTGGTCCTGCACGCTCTGGTTGCTGATGCCAATCCGCTGTAGGAGAATCTCTGCGTCGCGCTCTAGCGCCCCCCTCGGGGCACTGCCTGGTTTGTAGGTCCCCTTGTAGTGAATCAGAATATGGCACATAGCATCGTGAAGCGTCATGAGCTCTTTCTGGTCCGTCGCATCGCGCACTGGTGCCACCTGCTGCTGCGCCGCCACCATGAACTGCACTTTGTACTGCAGCGGGGCATCGTGCTTCTTCTTGTCGTAGTGGCACGGGCGGATCCTGAAGAACCTGATGTGTGACTGCAGCATCAAGAGCCCTTCCTCCTTGGTTTTGGTGACCACCGCATTCCAATAGTTCGCCAGCACCTTCTTGGGAATCTCGGGCAACGTGAGGTCCGTGGAGGTCACTATGTAGTGAACAAACGCCATGAAGATGTGCGGCCACGGTGGCCCGTTGGTGTGCTCGGTGCCCTCTTCCTTGCACAGAGAGTTGTAGTTGCCCCCGCTTGCTTGAGAATCACCACCAGCGCCGCCGCCGAGGGGAGCAAGAAGCATACGTAGTTGGCGCCGATAAGCTCCGCCAACTCGCGACTGTTGCTGAGGCAGAGCTTCGCAAGGATCGTGATGAGTGCCGCTAGCGGGCCAACTTTGCCCCCGGCTGTGTCGGCCTCGACCTGGTCCTTTAGCTTCGCGAGCTTGGTGTCCTTTCCCTTGGATGAAGCTGCTCCGTCCACGTCGTCTGCTTTGCGCTTCGTGAGCGTGAGCCACGTGGGAGCCTTCTCGACCTCCATCGTCCACCAGAGGAAGGTACGTGAAATGTGAACGTAGATGTACTTGCAACTCGGAAGTATTTTGGACTTGAGCCTGACACAACGGACAGCTGTAGGAAGAATCATCTTGGCGAACCTGGTAAGTGGTGCTCCTGGACGCTGTGCATATTCCTGTCCTGAACGAACTTACAAGATGTTTGTAGGCGCTGTTGGTGCTCTCGAATATAGAACCACACACAAAGCACTCATTAGCAACCACTGCCTGAGATAATACTGCTCGGAATCCGTGATGATTATGAATATGCGCCAATAGCTGCCTGCGTGTGTGGAATGCTCTCGTGCACCCTCTTACTGAACACCTGTAGTCACCACCTGCGTGTTCCTGGTCCTGGGTGTTTGTGTTGGCCTGGGGAGCTTGATAACCAGGAGGAGGTATACTTACACTGAGCCAATGGGCCCTAAGCTTCTTAGAATCAAATTGAGTAAACCATTCAACCAGTTCGTCATTCTGAAAGATGTTGAGGGGGGTGTCGTCGAACTCGGCGATTTTTTCGTGTTTTTCATCTCCTAATTCGGCGAGCGAGTTTATATCCGAGACGAACCCCTGGGCCCACGGGCAGGCCGCACTAGTAAGCTTCCCCTGGTCATTTATGATGCTTAAGTGGTTTTCGATCTCGATGCGCATGTTCCCAAAGAGAGCCCCCCATTCAGAGACGTGTAGTTCTGGAGCAGCAACCCAAGCCTGGTACCACTTGATGCGCCGAGACCTTGCCTCCACCTCCAAAGGCGCGAAGCGCCAGTATCGAAATACCTCCTGATTTGTGATAGAGACGGGATGTTCACCACCTGCAATCGTAGCTGCTCCTCCCAGAACCCTGCGCGCGTACAGCAAGACACGAGTCTGAAGCTTCTCTAACTGTGCCACTGTGGGCACGAAGCTCTCCAAGCCTGACAGAGCTGGGCCAAGCACTCGACTGAGAAAAACGGTCCTTTTTTCTTGTGTGCGGAGGCTTCGGCTGGTACCAGTACCGACCCATAGCAGCATATCCTGAGTCCACCGCCGAAAGTCTGCACGGCAATTCGCTCTGAAAAGAAGAATCAGCTCGGAGAATCCCACCAAGCATTCGAGCACGATCGTTGATCTTGCCTGCCGTGGGTAAAGCGCCTGCCCTAAGATGTTGATGTACTTGTTTACTACCTGCCCCAAAGACTGCTACCACTGTTTCATTTTTCGTCGGGTTGATCTTGTAGTTATGTTCTTGCATATGCTTGCTGAGGCTTTGGCCGTATAACATATACTTGCTGCTCAGCTCTGTGCCCGCGTCCTCCTCCTCCTCCTCCTCCCCCGCTGATACTAATACTTTCGTCGCGTCGTCGACATAGCTGTGAAAGCTTGGGTCGAGCTCGATGGGGGAGTTGGGGTCGGGAATATCTACTATACACCAGTTGGCCGTCGGATCCCCAGACTCAACGAACAGCTCCTGGACCTCCTGGAAAACGGTGCCGATGTCCCTGGTAAACACTTTTACTGCCCATGGATATCCTTGCAGAGCAATTCCAGTGGTAGTGACCACGGCGGTGATGCTCTGCGCTTGGCCGCGGTGCGAAAATATTTGGCAATGAGCTGCAACTTGATTCTTGACCACTCCAATCCTTCTGGCGTAAACGGCGCGGTGATATCGCTAGACTCGACACCTCCATCTCCATACACATACTGATCAACGTGTTGATGCCAGTCAATTATTTCGGCGTCCATGCCTCCTTCACCAGAACTAAATTGGAAACGATGTTTGAGATCTTCAGTTGTTGGAAGTACTTGGACTGCTCTGCGATAGTTGCGGCGTCTAGGTCCAGTTCCTCGAGCAGAGAGGAGGAGGAGGAGGAGGAGGAGGAGGAGGAGGAGGAGGAGGAGGAGGAGGAGGAGGAGGAGGAGGAGGAGGAGGAGGCGGCGCCCGCGCCATGGCCCGCTGCGCTTCGCCGTCGCCTGCGTCCATCCTCCGAGGGAGGGGTCCGCTGCCAATTGTTTTCGCAGCTTCTAGCCGGGCGGGAGCGCGTGCGTGTTCACAGATATAGCGCCTTGTTGCGCTCGCGTCCTTGAAGGGGTCGCCGCCCTCACCCCCCCCCCATGTTGCGCTTCGGTGGGGCAGCAGTGAAACCAATAGCGCTCGGCATGTGGCATAAGACCCGCCCACCCACCGAATCATAAGACTTTACAACCGAACATATGACCAAGAACATGCTAAATTAAGAAGCCTGGGCCAGCTCTCTGGAGGCTTCTTGAGACAAGCCTGGGCCAATGTCTGCTGCTCACGCTGGAGGGGCGAACGTGCTCAAGAAACCTGACCAGCCTTTGGGCAAGTTTGTTGGGAAACGCTGGCCCAACTTTTCGGGAGAAGGTTTTCTTAATCAGATCCTCGACCGTACTCCGTCGTCCTTCGGCCCCACCTCTGGCGACTTGAAGAGGTGGAGGCCATCTAGACGGGGTTCGAGTAGATGGGGTCGGAGGATCGCGCCGCATCGGCGATGTATCGACGATGCATCGGCGGTGCTTCGGCGACGTCGGCGGTGCATCGGGGACGCCTGCGCGGAGAGAATCGGGCTCCACATCGAGCGGCATCGGCGATGCATCGGTGATGCGGAGTGATCCTTCGATCCCATCTTCGGCGGCGAGCCCAGGGGGGAAGTGAGAAGAAGAAGGCCTTCTCAGAAGGCTCGGAAGTCCCACGGCCTTCTGAGAAGTTGTCCAAGCCTTCATACAAAGAAAACTTCTCACAAGGCGCGAGGGCTTCTGAGAAGTCCCGACGCCTTCTGAGAGGGTCTTCGCTTTCTCACTTCCCCCCCTCCCCGCGCTCGCCGCCGACATCTACTTACTCCGACCCATTTGAGAGGCCCAGAGAAGGGGGCTCGAGGATCGAGGCTTCAAATGGTTCTGTACACGTCGCTCACTTCTAATTGTGCTCATTCCCTACCTAGGCTCTGCCTAGAAGTGTTCTTACACTCTTTGCTTAAAGGGGCTGGGCAGTGGAACCCGCCCCGGGCGGTTCCCCCGGTCCCCTGGGAGCCTAGCAAAAGCAACAGCAAATGTAAAAGCAAACGCGCGGTTCCCCCAGTTGCGCTCCCTGGGTGCCAAGCAAAAGCAAACGCAAAGGCAAAAGTAAAACCAAAAACGAAGGCAAAGCAAAAGCATAGCATAGCATAGCATAGCATAGCATAGCGCAGCACAGCATAGCGCAGCATAGCATAGCGCAGCATAGCATAGCATAGTCTAGCCTAGCCTAGCCCAGCATAGCATTGCGCAGCATAGCATAGCATAGCATAGCATAGCATAGCATAGCATTCGCATTCGCATTCGCATTCGCATAGCATAGCAGAGCATAGCAGAGCAGAGCATATCATAGCATAGCGCAGCACAGCATCCAACTCCTAGGTAGGGTCGCACTGGGATACCTTCTTTCTGCTCTTTGTTTAATTGTTCCTGGCCCCCCTGGTGGCCAGGAAGAAGCCCAAGATGGAAACAATAGAAATGAAAGGATCTTGCCCCCCAAAAGAACCAAGGAACTTCCGAAGACTTAGACATGAACAGTGTGTACGCTCTGGCCCATCGTTGGGCCACTGTGGGCGCCCTCGCCTCCCTGATGGGGCCCGCCCCGCGAACCAACTCTGGCCGGGAGCGCAGCGATCGGCCGAGCTCCGGGGGCAGCGCCAGCGCGCCGGAGAGTTTCCGGCTGGCTCGGAGCCTCGAGGCCGCGAGCGTGACCCAGGATGGCTACGGACAAAAATAGGTACCAATCCTCCTCCTCCTCCTCCTCCTCCTCCTCCTCCTCCTCCTCCTCCTCCTCCTCCTCCCCTCCCCTCCCTCCTCCTCCCTCCCTTCCCTCCCTCCCTCCCTCCTCCCTCCCTCCCTCCCTCTCCCTTCCCTCCCTCCTCCCTCCCTCCCTCCTGCTCCTCCTCCTGCTCCTCCTCCTCCTCCTCCTCCCTCCTCCTCCTCCTCCCCCCCTCCCTCCCTCCTCTTCCTCCCCCTCCGCCTCCTCATCCTCCGCCTCCTCTTCCCAATCTCCTCCTCCGCCGCGCCTCAAGGGGCGAAAGACCTTTAGACGCCCGACATGGGCACGGAAAAGACGTGGGCACAACTCCAAACAACGGTGTTGTCCCAAACCGGCAGCGGCCGCTGTCGGGCAGGCGGCCTTTTTGTGCTCAGAGAGCAACGTCCACGGCGGCGCGACCAGCGAGTCCTGTTCAAATGAGCCAGAACTGCTGTTGGACATCGTACCCATTCTTTCCGTACCCATGTCGATCTTCCCGAAGACAGGCCCTGGAAAAGGGGTCGAGGGCGTCGGAGGCCGGCAGCTCGAAGAAATCCAGTCGTCGGAGGTCTGGCCCCCCATCTAGGTGGCGAGTAACGTTATCAAATCAACTCTTCCGTCACCAGGGGCGCCTGTCCCAGGGCGGCTGGAAAGTGCACACCCTGATGTGTGATCGTAGAGGTATCAACTTTCCAGCCGCCCTGGAACAGGCGTCCCCGACGGCGAAACATATCATTTTATACCATTTGTCGCTCGTTAACCCCAGCGGGACAGACAACATTCCTTCTGCTGCTCCGAGTCCTCCCTCGTCTCCGCCTGCTCGTATCAAAAGAATTCGCCCAAAATATGGTTGGGGGTGATGGCGTCGGAGGATCCCATCGCATCGCGTGCACATCGGTGATGCGTCGGCGACCCCAGGGAAAGAACTTCCACCTGGTCTGGCCCCCCCTGGCCGACAAGAAATACCGCCCGCAGCTTGCTCCGAGCGCGCTTGGGGAGAACCAATCGTGGGGACGTCCGCGCCCGCTTCCTGGAACGGCATCATGTCGTAGCTGAATCCCACGCGGAAGCGGTAGCTGCAGTACGTCAGGTACAGGGCAGCCTCGCCAGCGCGAGCTTGCAAGCGCCATGTGGCAGATGCTCTGGTGCGCGGGAGCGAGCACACAGGCCCCCAAAGCCCCAACCAACCAAGTGAGCTAAAACGGAACAGTGCAGATACTGTGGCGCACCGGAAAGAACAACAAACACATTGGACCGAGTCCCCCGCCCAGGTCACGAATGCGACGGCAGCAGTGTGGAAAACGTGCTGAAGAAACACAAAAGGCAGCGCAAGTGCGGGAACGGGCGCGACAAGAGGACAACCACACAAAAGGCCAACACTCCCATGTTTTGCCCCGCTGGCGGTGTGACACCACAGTCGCGTGCCATACTGAGACGGGCTACGTCGCGGTGAATTGCCAACTTGCGTCGAGGACGGCTATCAAAGATGAAGACGACCCCAAAAGGAGCCTCCGAGTTCCCAAGGACGCGCAGTGGCGTGCAGGGTAAGACAGGGTGTGGCGGGCTCAGACCAGTGCTGATTGGCCACTGTGTCACCACCGCTACCATAGGGAGGACGTGGGAGAAGGGAGGATAAGGAAGCCCTCTTCCTCCTCCTCCTCCTCCTCCTCCTCCTCCTCCTTGTCCTCCTCCTCCTCCTCCTCCTCCTCCTCCTTGTCCTCCTCCTCCTCCTCCTCCTCCTCGTCCTCCTCCTCCTCATCCCTCGCCTATCTTTGGTAGCGGTGGTGGAAGATCGGCTCATCACGTGCGTCCGACGTCATGATCCCTCTCACGTCGTGGCCCGTGTTGGGGCGCGCTGTGCCCAGTCGTTGCCACGAGGGCGTCCCAGGGACGCCCCCCGTAGCCACAAAAAGGCGTCGGCCCCCGACGCTGGAAGCGCAAAAACAACCTCACCGCGCAAATCTTACAACAACGGTGGAAGGTCCGCGCGCATCTCTCAGGCCGGCGCTGGATGCGTCCCCACACGGCGGATCCCATTCACACACACACAAACAATGGTTTCTTGAAAGCGCGAAGGGAGCCCTGTGGCGAAGAGTTCAAGCAAAGGGGGAGGGTGGAGGGTTCGGTGGCAACTCATGGGAGCCTCCCGTACCATCTTGTCGGGTCTTGCGAATCGACCCTAGTCGACGCTAAATCGACGCTGCTCGCTGCTAGTCGACGCTAACCGTCGCTAGCCGACGCCACATCGGCGCTATCTCGTCGACTCCCAGACGCTGGTCGACGCCAAAGACGGAATTGCCAGGGCAAGCCAGGCTTCTACGATGTGCTGCCGACGGAGGGGGGGGCGGGGCACGAGGGACGGCCGATGCGCCACATTACCTCGGTGCCTCCGGCGCGCCTGCGCGCGCGGCCCGGCAGGAGCGCAGGGCCGCCTGCCATGCGCCCTCGCCGCCTCCGGCCCGCGTCGGTGGCGGCAGGAGCAGCGCGCCCACGCGCATGCTCGCACGCTCGCACGCTTGCGCGCTCGCACGCTCGCACGCTCGCACGCTCGCACGCTCGCACGCTCGCACGCTCGCACGCTCGCACGCTCGCACGCGCATGCGCACGCACGCGCGCGCACGCGCATACGCACGCGCGCACGCACGCTCGCACGCGTAAGTGCACGCGCACGCGCAAGCTCGCACGCTCGCACGCTCGCACGCCCCAGAGGCGATCCACACGCGGTTCTGGGCGAGACCGACTCACACGCCAACGCGCACACATCCAGATCAGATCGCCCCTTCGATTTCGCACTGCACCTGCCGCGCCGTCGGGCCGAGCGGGGATGGTCGTGCCCCGCGCTCCTCCTTCTCCACCTCGCACTCCCAAACAAAGAACACGAACCCAGACACTCGCCATCGCTCGGACGTCCATTTCCCGTGCATTTTTCGGTTTCGTGCGTGTTTTTTTGCTCGACGGTCCAGGATCGTCCTCAATGGTTCTCGCCGAGAAAAGATTCACACGTCCGAGCGATGCCAGGGACACATGCGAGATCCCGGATCTTCCCAGGCGCTGTCCCCGGGAATCCAGACCCGCTCCGCAGGGGCCGCTTTGTCATTCCGAGGCGTCCTTTGACCGCCCCGGGGCCCCAGTGGGGCCCCCAGAGGCCGACACGTCAAACAGATGATGTCCGCCCTGTCTTTTTGTGTTTCTATTCTCATTATCATTATTGTTATGCGCATTATGATTGTTATTATTCTGATTATTATGATTCTTCTTACGATCCTTATTGTGAGTATCATTCGTCTGAGTCAGATTTCTACTATTCGGAATATGCTTCAAGATAAAGAACCGCATGTCTGCGATCATTATTGTGATTACTCCTCGTCTCAGTCTTATGATTCTTATCATTCTTAGTATGATTACTATCAATCTTATTCTGAGAGTTCTGCTTTTGCATACAAAAAAACACGCACGTCTGGGAGCACGCCGGAGATCTGGGCCCGGGACGGGGCCCAACGCCCGCCCGCCGCGGGGCGGCCGCGGGGCGGCGGGCGCGCCGGGACGGTCAGGATGATCGGGCCGCTGCTCTTCGCGTGGCGGGCCTCCCTCTGGACTGCTGCCGGGTGCTCCGCCCTCCCTCCCATGCCTCCCTCCGCCCCGCCGCCCCCCCCCCCCTCTCTCCCTCTCGCTCCTTCCCGCTCTCGCTCTCTCCCTCTCGCTCGCGCCCTCTCTCTCTCTCTCTCGCTCTCGCCTGCCCCTCTCTTCTGTCTCCCTCGCGCTTTGGATGCCCTTCTGTGTCGCTGCACCTGTATGCTCTTCGTCGCTTCTCTCTCTCTCTCTCTCTACCTTTCTTCCCTTCTGTTCTCTCTCTCCCTCTCTCTCTCTGTCTCTCTCTCTCTCTCTCTCTCTCCCTCTCTGTCTCTCTGTTGGTTGTTTGTTCCTCCCTCTCTCTCTCCCTCCCTCCCTCTCTTCCTGTCGGCACCGCCTGCGCGCCCAGACGCCCCGAAGCGCGGGGCCCTTCCGGCCGCGGCGGGCCCCCGAGCGGGGCCGCACGCGGTGCCCCCCGCCTGGAAGCGGCACGGCGGCCGCAGGCTGCCGGGGGCCCCGCGGCGCACCAGCGGTGGGCGCTCGCGGCGCGGCGTGATACGCCGGGGGGTCTCAGATGGTCCCGGAGGAGCGGGGCCGACGTCGACGACGACGACGAGGACGAGGAGGAGGAGAAGGAGGACGACGACGACGACGACGACGAGGACGAAGACGAGGACGACGAGGACGACGAGGACGACGAGGACGACGACGACGACGACGAAGACGACGACGACGACGACGACGACGACGACGACGACGACGACGACGACGACGACGACGACGACGACGAGGACGACGACGACGACGACGACGACGACGACGACGACGACGGCGACGACCCTGCGGGGCCCTGCGGCGCACCAGCGGTGAGCGCTGGGCCGGGACACGGCATGTTGCGCCAGGGGTCTGCAAGGCTGCCCCCGAGCCCCGTCGCGCCCGCGCCCAGCGCCCAGCGCCGTCCGCCGCCGCCGGGGCCGCGAGCTCCACCTCGAGCCGGGGGGCCAGCTGCTCGAGCGCGTCCGCGGCGCGGTCTGCCCACGTCGCCGCGGGCATCCGCGGGAAGGCAGGAGAGGCCGCCAGGACTGCGCAGCCCGCCAGGGAGGCAGCGCGGCGGGCCTGCGCAGGGCCCGCGGGGGGCCGCTGGCGCGTCTCCTCGTCCTCGTCCTCGGCGGCGGGCTCCGCCGCAGGCGGCACGCGCACGCGCGCACGGCCCCTGGGCCGTGCGCCCCACGCCGCAGCGCCGCCGCTGTCTCTCTCTGTCCCTCTCTCTCTCTCTTTCTCTCTTTCTCTCTTTAGGACCCGCTCCCTCAAGAACCCTCTTTCTCTCTCTCTCTCTCTCTCTCTCTTTTTTTCTCTCTCTCTCTCTCTCTCTCTTTCTCTCTTTCTCTCTTTTTCTCTTTCTCTCTCTCTCTCTCTTTCTCTCTCTCTCTCTCTCTCTCTGTAGGACCCGCTCCCTCAAGAACCCTTCGATCCGTGGCCGTGGGCGTGCACTCTAGCGAAACGGATTGCTGGACTCCGGCATGCGCGCGATCGTGGCCGACTCGGCCGTAGCGAGATGCAGGACACCGAGCATTCGCCTCCGTCCGAGGCGGCGGCGGTGGAAGCAGGGGCGGCGACCCAGTTTGGGATGTGGCTCCTCTCCTCTCTGCTGTCGCCCCCCCCCCTCTCCCGCCCACTCCCCCACGGTCCATGCCCCGGCAGAGATCTCAGGGCGCATTGCATCACATCAGCCTCGCCGTCGCCTGCCTTGACGAACGAACAGCACACACCCATACCCATAGGGGGGTCGTTGGGAGGAGGACTGGCTATGGGTATGGGTGCGGGTTGTCGGACCCTGGGGAACGCTCCCGTTCGAGCGGGGACCTCCATCCGACAACACGCACAGATCGCACTCTCCGACCCCCCTATGGGTATGGGTGTGTGTTGTTGGTTGGTTCGTCATGCAGGACGAGGGATGTCCCTCTCGGGGCGCCAGCGGCGACAAGCGAATGGCTAGAGAGAGCGCCGGCACCGCCAAATGCGCGGCGCGTGGACGAGCTCCTTGCAGCAGCTGGGGGCTGCGGCCCGTGCGCGGTGAGGGTGGATGGGGCCCGTGAGACAACGACGCGACCTGTCCTGGGGGCGCGCAAACATGGAGTAGCGATCCATGGCTTTGGCGCGCGGTCGCCACATCCGTGGATCGGGGGAGGCACCCTCCCCAGAATGCGGCCAGTGCCACCTCGCTCCGCGGCGGACGTCCGCGACTTCCAATGGAAACGGGACCCGTCGCTAATCCACGCCCCCTTGTGGGGAAACCAAAGGTACCGATGCCGCTACTCCCCAGACCTCTCCTGGGGTGCGTTCTGACCAGAATTCCGAGGCGAATCCAGCGGTGGCGACGAGATCCTGCGAGGAGGCCCAAACAGGGGAAAACGGCCGAAGGGTAGAGGTGTGGGTACCTTTTCCTCCTCTGGCCTTGATGCATCCTTGCGATCGCCTGACTGTCTGTGGCAGTTCCTAGCCAGAGCCCCCTCCCCCAGCGGCGGGCCAGGGTGCCGAGCGGGCGCGATGTCTCTCGGCCCACTGATATTTCACGGAGTCGGCAAACAGGTGGGCACGGTATAGATCCGATCCGTGTGACCAGCAGGGCGGGCATCATATCCACAATGGTGTCTGAAGTCGGATCTGCGCGGACGAACATCGGACCCACCGCAGCACAACTCCAAACCAGATCCGGACCCGCACAACTCGAATCTCCGCCAGGGTTGCTCTCATGCGTGCCGGCGCAAGAGTTGAAGTCAACATGCTCCCGCCCAACACTCTCGTCCTGGGGATGTATGGTCGCTGCAGGTGGCCGCCAGAGCCAATGGTCAGATCAACCAGTCGTCTAGCGAATGCCATCGCCCCGCCATCCTGCAAACAACACCTTGGCGCTGATCGCGACTTCCCCGGACAGTGCCCCCCCCTGCTCGAACCATCACACCGATCATGAGGACGACGTAAATCATGACCTTGTGGGGGGGAAGCGCTCCGGCGAGGTGAGAGCCGAGGAAGCACGAACTGCGACGCTGAACACCTCAGGAACAACAGGCGCAGAGAAGAAGGGCGAAGATGAATAGGAAGAACCCCATTGAAAAACGTGCGAAGTCATGCTCGCTCACGCTTTGTTCGTAACATGCTCCCCTGGGTCTCACAGCACCCTTCCCGGAACAATTTGCTCGTTTGTCCTGGGGGCCGAAGCGGGCGTCTGGCCGTCCCCAGACTACAGCCTGTAGAAAGAGCGGCCCTTGCATTTTTCTATGGCGCCGGAGGCACCTCCTCTGACTTTCTCATCAGCCGTTTGGGTGAGGTGGTGCACTAGTTCTTCGCTTGCCTCTTCCAAAACCACTTGTTCACATTTGGAGAGAATGTTACCATTTCCCCAGTTAGTATTCACCCCACCCCCCAACACCCGACCAGCAGCCAACCCAGATCCATGATAACACCCCCCTCCCATCCCAGTCAAAAAACAAGATTCACTTTGCCTCCGAATCTGGAGCATGCGCAGGTGCGCTGGGAACACTTTGCATGGTTTTCCAAAGGGACGGAAGGGGTGCCCTCATAATGCTTGCTGCGCGCAAGCCAACCATCCCTGTCAACATAAAAGGTGCAACATGCACTTGGCCTCCTAATCCGAAGCATGCGCGGGCGCCTCGCGATCATTTTAAATAGGCTCTTGACAGGGACGGCGGGGGTGCCCTTATGTTGCTGGCTCCGCGCGAGCCATCCCTTTCAAAGCGATGAACATCCCACTGTGCCTCCAAATCTGGAGCATGCGCAGGCGCCCCGCGATCACTTTGCATGTGTTTTGATTGGGACGGCGGGAGTGCCCTCATATTGCATGCTGCGCGCAAGGCGACCGTCCTTGTCATCAAACAACGCGACATGCGCATTCCCTTCAAATCTAGAGCATGCGCGGGCGCCCCGCGACCGCTTCGCATGGTCTTTGACAAGGAGACCCAGGTGCGACGTATGTGTTGGGAGGGCGTGTGGGCATGAGCGAGACGGCGTGTGCCTTGTACGCAGAAGGTACCTTGGTCACTGTCCCTTCTAAAGATTCACCACCTCTGATCGAGGCAAAAACCGTCCTATTCCCTTCGGAAGCCATAGCTGTTTAGCATGCCTTCACGGCGTCCAGAGAGGCCACCAAGGTCTTCCCAACACAGCCCATGCGGCCCGTAAGCTACAAGACTGCCGAAGAGGACCCCAAGACGGTCCAAGCGGCCCTCAAGACGGCCTAGGAGAGGCCAAAGGGGGCTTCACGAGGGGCCCATGAAAGGGAACACGAGCTATTATTCCAAGCCCGTCCCCCCCCGAGGGGCCCAAGAGCCCCCTAGAGACCCCCGAGGTGCCCTCAAGAGGCCCCCAAGAGGGCCACAAGGCGTCCCCAGAGGCCACGAGAGCCCAGGCTCCGACAGGCATCCCAAACGACCCTCAGATGCACCTGAAAAGCTTCTGAGCCACAGCCCAGACACGGTGGCGGGTTGGGCCGAAGCCGCAAAATTCGCCGCCCCCCGTTGATTTGTCACAGAGGTGCCTGGCATGCTGATTTTTGCTTGTTTTAAACTAATGTTAACCCTCCTCTGGGTCTTCGGTCCAACCCGCCGGCCATCTGCGTCTCCCATCCCAGACGGCCAAGGTGACCCCAAGGGAGCCCAAGATAGCCCCAAGAAGGCCTCCAAGAAAGTACCAAGATGCCTCCACGACCACCCAGATGATCCAAGAGAGCCCATGACGGCCCAAAATGCGCCCAGAGGCCCCCAAGACGCCACACGAGGCCTCCAAGAGGTCCTCCGGGAAGGCGCGAATAGGCCAAACTTATTGATTTTCTTTGGGTGTTTGGTTGATTTGGGCATTTGTTTCAAATTGCTTCCCGACGGCCCAAGAGTGCCCCGAGATCGGCAAATAAGCATTCAAGATGGCCCCAGGATGGCCCAAGAGGCTGCCAAAACGGCCCACAAACGGCCCCGAGATAGCACAAGAGGCCTTGAAGGCGCCCAAGAGGGCCTTCAAGACGATCTTGAAGCGCCCCAAACACAAGACGGCCCAAAGAGGCTCCCAAGAACGCAGTAAGACCACAAAAGAAGTCTACAACGGCCCCCAAGAGGCCCAAGGGGAGCCCCAAGAGGCCTCCAAGAGGCCTCCAGGAAGCTCCAGGGAGGCCCTAAAAATGACCCAAGAAGCTCCCAAGAGGTCTCCTCATCCGTCTCCTCATCCTCCTCGTTTCTCCCTCAACTCGTCAGCCACTTCCGCCCCACATGTACCCGAAGGGCTTCCACAACTGCTGGGGGAATGATCCAATAGCGTGGCCAAACTTTGAACTAAGGTCGCGAACTCTTACTCCTTCTGGGGGTCGGCGGAATGGCGATGACTTGAAGAAACACCCCATCCCCTACACGACCCACCCTCGACGAAGCAGGGACACTGCCCACGCCCCCCCCCAAGACCCCTTGCAACAAACAAAGCAACGTGCATATTGCACCAACGTCTAGATCATGCACGGACGCCCCGCGATCACTTCGCATGGTTTTTCACAGGGATGCCAGGAGTGTCGAGATATTGCTTGCTGTGTGCAAGGTCACTCACCCCACACCATCCCTCGCAAACAACACATTGTGCTTTGCACCAAAATCTGGACCATGCGTGTGCGCCCCGCGATAACTTCGCACTTCTTCTTTTGACAGGGACGGCGGGCGTGGGGGGGGCCGCAGATTGCCTGGTGTGGGCAACGCCGAGAACCTCCACCAGCCATGACAAAATACCACACAGCATGCACGTTGCACCAAAATCAGAATCATGCGGGGGGCGCCCCGCGATCACTCTGCATCGTTTTTCGACAGGAGCGGCGGAGGGGCCGGCAGATTGCCCACTGCCAACAAGCAAGTGCAGCGTGATGGCGGGCGGGCGCACACGCAGTGCACTGCTGGCAAGCCCACCGTCACTGCGCATGATGTTTGACAGGGATGGTGGGCGGTCGACGTGCTGCCCAACGTGGCGCACGCGGTGCGCGTGGCGCACCTGGCACATGCAGCGCATCTCGCGGGCGTCGCGCACCTGGCTGGCGTCTGCATCGGTTCCCGACGGTTGTCGATAGCGGCCACTGCTTATGCTGAGGCTCGGGTATTACTTCTGCTGTGGGCGGGCGGGTGGGAGTGAGCGAGACAGCTTGCGGCTTTCCCGCTGGGAACTTGACCCCTCCCCTACCCACTCCCCTGGGTCTTGACGCGAGGGGGCCAGAGGTGGCAAACCCTCCCCGACCCCCCTACCCCCACACCTCCCCCCCTTCTCCTCCCATCCCCCGCCCTCCTTCACCATCCCCCCCGCCCCTGTTCCTGGATGTTACTAGCCTGCCTTGGCGACTCTGGAAAAGGGCCGATGTTGCGGGTATGATTTCTTCCCGATCTCCCGGGATGCCCGCTGTTCCTGGTATGGTGTATTGTCCACGGTCAATTTTCGCGCTGTCCGTTCCGGGACCTCTCGACCTCCCTTGGGTGCTGAGGTAGCCCTGGACTGACGCGGGGGGGCCGTGGACTGCGACCCGCCTGAGCCGTCTCTCGGGTCTGCCTGTGCGCAGCCCCAGGCCCCTCCAGAGGACGAGGAGGAGGCAGAGGAGCGTCCCAGTCACGCGCCACGGGACGGGCGGTCAAGAGCATGGGGCGCACGGGACATCAGCTGCCACTCGGGCAGGCAATTCCGAATCGCACGCTGCTGAATTCTAGCTCCAGTGGGGGAGAAACATATGCGGCGTCTCCACCAGCGGTCGAATGCGTCGCACCGTGAAGTGTGCTTGTGTATTCGCGCAGTCATTGATGGAAAATTTCTACGACGAGTGTTTCTGCAGTACGTCTGACGTCGTGGATGACAGTGGCAAGCACAGGCACAACAATAGGCAAGATGGCCGATATAAGATATTCAGACAACATCGGCCGAACCTTCCAAAAACGAGGTCGGGAAACACCGACTCCTCAGCAGAACGCGGAAGCTCCTCAGCAGAACGCAGAACGCGGGATGATACAGGTCAATGTGTCGCATCTTATCCCCTCCGCGGGCCTTGCACGCCATACAACAACAGGTTGGGCCGCAAAGCCTGGATGACGCTTCCCAAGCGTTAAGCACAACTTGGAAACAAGCCGGGAAGAGGAGGACAAGGAGCATTGCAAGGACGCAAAAAATACGGCCATGGAATATCGTTCAACGGATCCCCATCCCCACTGGCATGGCATTGGCCCCCCTGACCGACTTCCTCCCCTCAGTGGGGATATGTGTTGCTCCCTTCGGGTTTCGAGGGGCCTATCCTCACCTGGGGATACGGATGTCGGGGATAAGCACCATGGCCTGGCGGGGACGGGGCTTAGGCTAGACGGTGCTGAGCGATGACCCCGTATTGCACGTGCATGAGGCCGTTGACAAAGAAGAGCCCGCCGGAGTCGGGCTTCCTGGTCTCGGCGAAGACGAGCAGGTACCCTCGGCCCGCTGGCAGCCAGTCATCGGGGGGAGGGAGAGGGGAGGGGGGAGGACAGGCTGGGTGCGCTCCCGTCGCATCTAACCAGCCTCGAACGCATCCCTATCCTTAAGGTTAACAAGCCACAAGTCTACGACAATCTTAGGGATGCCCCCTCCGAAACGGAGGGACTCCCCAAGATCGGCGTCGGGATGAGGCGATGCCAGTCATAGGGATAGGGCTCTGTTCCAGGCTGGTGAGGAGGACGGGAGGGGGGAGGACAGGCTGGGTGCGCTCCCGTCGCATCCGACATCCGAGCCCTCCCCCTGCACACTTGTTTTAATCCGCGGGTCGAGAGCGAGTCTCTTCCGATAGAAGCTAAGCGGGCTGCGCACAGCTTTAATCAGCAGAGGGGGGGGCAAAAGAAGGCGGGGCCTTACGTCAAGGCCGAGAGAGGGCGAAGCCCTGGGATCAGGACTCCCCCTGCGCACACCCCTCCTCCCTCTGCGCCGATACCTCTCGCTCCGCGGGGCGCGCCACGGGAGGACCCGGCACTGCGCTCGCCCAGCCCGTGCGCTCCCCAGCCCCGCGCCCCTCTGCCGAGGTTGAAGCGCTCCGGCAGGCCACGGCGCGCGCGAGGAGCACGACTGGCCAAGCAAGGGCACGGCTTGAGCCCGCGGCGTGCGCTCAAGCACAGCAGATGCACCGAGCGAGGGCGCTCCAGCAGCCCACGGCGTGCGCCCCAGCCCTGGGCCTCTGACGGGGAGGCACGGTCCAGCAGCCTACGGCGTGCGCGCCGGCACTGCAGGCTTACGTGCCGACGGGAGGCAGTCCAGCAGCTCGAGCAGAAAACACAAGAAGGACGTCGCTGTCGCTGTCGCCGTCGTCGCCGCTGGCGTCGTCCTCGGCGCTTTCGCCAGCAAGGCGCCGCCGTCACGGCAGCGACCGCCGTCGCCACCATCGCCGTCGACGTCGACCCGTGGCCAGGACGTGCTCAGCGTGTCGCGCCGAAGCGTGGTGGGCCAACGCCAGCGGCGCAACACGCTAATCTCAGGTCGGGCATGACCTCCTACAGGCGGATTTTCGACGAAAAATGAAAACATATTCGGACAGTGCAAAACGAGAAACACATCATCAAAACATCTCCCTCCGACTGTTTTCGGACTATTTTGAACCTTCCTCCTGTAGAGGGACATGCCCGACTTAACGCTTATCCAACGCTCCAGGCCGTTGCGGACAAAAAGCGGCGTAGCATATTCGTCCTGGCCAGCTGAGCGGCTTGTGCTTCGCACCGTCACGTGCCGCCGTGGGGGGTAGCAGCTTTCCGACCGCCTGGGCGCAGACGTCACCGACGGTGGAGTACTCCATTGTACATCGATCTTCGCCCGCTGAGCTGACCCCAGACGACAAGCTGGCAGCTTGGGGCAGCCAACAGCCCCCAGGGCCCACCGCATGGCAGAGGCGTGACGCGGGAGGCCGAGGGAACCTTGCTTCACCTCCACCAGCCTCCGCTCACGGAATCCCCCATCGTTCTTGGTGCCGTCAGCTTCCGCCGACCTTCCACCGACGTCCGCCGAGGTTGAAACATCACTCCCTCGATCGTCGAGGACGGGGCCTCTGTCTGGAACGCCCTGCTGCCAGGCCCGCACCGTCGCTGCCCCACGGCCACCCCTCCGTAGCAGATGCGGCACAGCACGAAGTTGATGAACGTCAAGCCTGCCGGCCCCATATGTAGGGGGCAAACAAACCTACCTCGCTTTTGACCACCCTCGCTTCCAAGAGATACCAAGCGATGCCAAACTACGGCATATACTGGTCAGGCCGCTTGACGAGGAGGCGCGTGGTATGGCTTGGTTTTGCCTGGAAGCGAAAGCGGGGTAGGTAATTCACGCTCTGAATATGGTGCTGGAAATCACGGACTACAGCTACGCATCTGCCATGTGCAGCTGCTCGAGCGGGGGGGAGCGGGCAGGGCGAGTACAACGAGATTGTGGGAGGTACACGGGGACACGGAGAGAAGGAGGAAGCGAATGGGGACAGGGCGACGGGAGAAAAATGAATGACTTTCGGGCGAGATGATGTCGACCTGCTTCGGCCAGCGATGCTGCGTTCCAGCATGGAGGTGGGTTGTCGTAGATGTGGATCGGCCTCCCCCCAGAGCCAGCAAGCCCGATGGCTGCGGCATCAGCTGAACAATCTTCGATCATGGTGCGGGCGGGGTCGTGAGTCAGTCGTCGGTTGCATATAGCAAAGAGATTCAGATGCCGACCCACTCTTGAATGGCGCCCTCTTCTTCCCCCTGTTCCCCCTCTACGTGCGTGTTGCTCATCGCATGCCTCGTCTGCAATGCTGGACCCCCAGAACATCTGCTCTAACACGAGAGACCAGGCTGTTGTGCCAGAACAGCTTAATACGGAGCTAGATGTGGTCTTTGCTTCTGTCGCCGCCGCTGCCGCTGCTGCTGCTCCTCATGTTTCTCCTCTTCCTTATCCCGTCCTCCTCCTCCTCCCCCAGATTCTCTGTTCTTCCTCCTCCGGCTCCTTCCTCCATACTTCACTGCCTCTCGTTCACCCTCCTGCTGCCCTTGCTTTCCCATTCCTCCTCTTCCCCCATATGTCGCTCCCCTCCTTCTTCCAATTCCTCCTCCGTCTCTTCCTCCTGCTCCTCGCCTATCAATCCCCATCAGATCACCTCCTCCTCCTCATCACCACCCAGCTTCCAATTCTCCTCCCGCTCGTCCACCTCCCCCGCAGCTCTTCATCAATATCCTTCTCCTCCACCTCCTCATCGATATCATCAGCATCACCACCGTTACCAGCATCGGGACCATCACCACCACGATCATCATCCGAATCATCATTCTCCTCATCCTCATCATCACCACGATCACCATCATCAACATCACCACCGTCTTCAACATTAATATCATGATCAGCATGGGGATCGTCAAACTGAGCTGTAGTGCCATATCCTTCACCGTCAATACCATCACCATCTGTTTCATCTACATAGACAGCTACATCTACATCTACATCTACCGCTACATCAGGATCGTCATCATCAGCATCATCGTCATCATCACCGTCGTCATCATCGTCGTCATCATCATCATCATCACCACCATCAACAACATCACCATCATGATCATCATCAGCATCAGCAGCACCATCACCATCATCATCGTCACCATCACCCTCATCATTATCAGCAACACCATCGCCATGTCATCACCATGATCCTCCTCCTCCTCATCATCATCATCACCAGCATCATCATGATCAGCAGCCTTACTGTTAGCATAAACGTCATCATCAGCATCATCCTCATCCTCACCCTCATTCTCATCTCGCCCTCACCCTCATCCTCATCATCCCTCCTCCGCTGGCTTCTCACTGGCTTACGGTTTGGAACTTTTACTTAGTGTATCGTGGCGACGGCCCCTGCCACACGCTGTGCCATGCGAGCGGATAGCGTGTCGCTTCGCTCCGCGGAGCGGGAGGCTGGGAAAAGCTCGAGACGTTGACGATCGGGAGCCGCGACGTCGATAGCGTGTCGCGCCGAAGCGCGGTGGACCATCCTAATTTGTCTGCCTACGAGAATACTGCTTCACCCCTCCCCCTCCCATCAAACATCGCAAGACGAAGCCAGGATCAGGATACATTCGGGTGAGGGCACATCGGGAATCTTGTCAGAGGATGTTTCGCGCGCCGCGGCCTTCTCAATTCGTCCCGGAACGCCCTGAGACCGTTCCGAAAGGCTCTATCCCCGTCTTAGCCCCGTCCGACATCCTCTCTGACAGGGGATCTTTGTGGGCCCCGGAAACGGCAGGGCCGTTTTTTTGCCGTCTCCACAAAAAATGCCCCTTGAAACTGGGAGCGGCAAAAAAACGGCGACCGGAAACGGCAAAAAACGGCTCCAGGATTGGAACCGGAGCCGGAACCGGTCAAAAAACGGCGACGGAACCGGTAAAAACACGGCGTCGGAACCGGCAAAAAAACTGCAAAACGGAACCAGTAAAACAACGGCCCTGTCGTTTCCAGTGCAAACTAAGCAGGGGATGCCTCCAGGAACTCCTGAGGAGGACTTGGTACGACATGGCGCATTAACACATTGATGATGACGAACGAACGACACACACACACACCCACACCGATAAGAGGGTCGGAAAAAGGAGGACTGGCTATGGGTATGGGTGCGGGTTGTCGGGCCCTGGGGGAGGCCCCCGTTCGAACGGGGACCCCCATCCGACAGCACGCACCCATAGCCCCTCCGTCCCCGCTGTGGATCCTTCTTGTCTGCTCCTCCTCCTTCTTTTCTCCTCCCCTTCCCCCGGGCCTCTCCAGAGGGCCCTGGAGGTCCCCAGGCGCTTGCCCCTGCCTCCTCCTTCACTGCTTCCGGAACTCGCCTGCCATTCGCCCCTCCCTCCCACCAAACACCGCCTCGCACCCCCCCCCTAGGAAACAACTCCTGGGAGGTCTTCGCCGGAACGATCAAGGGCGATGAAGCCCGATGAACGGGCCACTTCACAGGATCATGCCGGATTAGGCCCGGGATTAAGCGGGATTGAGCTGGACTGTAATCGAGATTCAGCTGGTTATCGACCGCGAGGATACCCCTGCCGATACTCCCCCCCTCCTCCTCCCCCTTCTCCTCCTCCTCCTCCTCCTCCTCCTCCTCCTCCTCCTCCTCCTCCTCCTCCTCCTCCTCCCCTGACCCCTCGCGTCGTGACCAAAAATTTGCGACGGGAGTTTGCTTCGCAGTGTTCGCCCTCCGGGGTGCCTTCACTACCGGGCCTCGGGAGCGAAGAGCGAGCCACGGGGAGCGGGCCCAGACTTCAAGGAGTCGAGGCTGTGAAAGAATCGTGGCGTCGGGGATCTGGGCCCCCGTCTTCTCCTCCTCCTCCTCCCCCTCCCCCTCCTCCTCCTCCTCCTCCTCCTCCTCCTCCTCCTCCTCCTCCTCCTCCTCCGCGTCTGCTGCTTCCTCTGCTGGTGCCCCCCTGTGCGGGGGTGCCCGCGATCATGGGCGAGAGCGTGGAGAATATGATGCCGATGAGTAGGGTGGCGCTCCAGCGTGCAGAGCGCGAGCCGATGCCATAGTAGTCCTCTCGGTGGGCTGGGGGAGGGGGGGGAGGCCGTGGAGGACGGGGAGGGGGAGGAGAGGACGAGAGGATTCGATGAGGAGGGCGAATGAGGATGGATGAGGAGGGGGGGGTTGGGGGAGCAGGGGGGCAGGGGGAGGGGAAGGAGAGGGCGAACAGTTATGATGAGGAGGGCGAATGAGGAAGGGGGATGAGGATGAGGATGAGGAGGTGGAGGAGGGGGAGGGACGAGGAGGAGGAGAACGAGGGGGGGAGGAGCGGGGTGGGAGAAGGGACAAAATGGGGAGATGACCCCCACTCCTCCTCATGCTCCTCATCCTTCTCCTCCCCCTCCTCCTTTTCCTCCTTCTGCTCCTCCTCCTTCTGCTCCTCCTCCTCTTCCTCCTCCCTCGTCCCCTCCCATCCTCGCTCCTCCTATCCTTCTCCTTGCGCCGACCTCTTCTCATCTTCATTCCGTACTCCCTCGTCACTCCCTCCTTTCTCTCCCCTCCCCCCTCATCTTTTTGCTCAACCTCCATCCCCCCTATCCGCGCAAGTAGCTCCCAGAAGGAAAGCCCTCCACACGTCCTCCTCCCCCTCCTCATGCCAGGTTTGCCCTCGACCAGAGGACCGGGATCGATAGGGGGGGGTTCTTGGCCGCTTTCGGAAGGAACTCGGACGCTTCAGCTCCTCTACGGATCTCCGAGGGCCTAGAAAGGTCTCAATAGCCCCTCCGAGGGTCGGGATCTGGGGGCGGAGCCGAAGATTATCACTCCGTCTCCCTCCCTCCCTCCCCCCGAACTCATCATCACATGCTCCCTCCTGCTCCCCCCCCCTCCCCCTCCTGCATATTCCTCTTGCTCTCTCATACTCCCTCGTCCTCTCCTCCTCCTCCTCCTCCTCCTCCTCCTCCTCCTCCTCCTCCTCCTCCTCCTCCTCCCCCTCCTCCTCCTCCTCCTCCTCCTTCCTTCCTCTCCAGAATCAAGTCCAGCAAGTAGGTGGCGTCGAGTAGGGGCGGGGGGGAACGGGGAAGGAGAGCAGAGCAGAGGAATCTAGTTGGGACGGCTGTGGATGCGTGCGGGGGAGGAAAGGAACTTAGAGTGTAGCTGATAACAGTGGAAGAATGATGAATAAGGATAGCAGATGCGAGAGGGACCCACCGAAACAGTCAGAAGTTTTCTTCGACCTACATCCATACGTATATGCATACATGCATACATACATACGTCCATACATACAAATACAGCCGATTGCCTACGTGCCTGTGTACGTACACACACATATATATATATATATATATATATATACATACATGTATACTTGCGCCCACACATACATACGCATACACATATACATACACATGCAGACATACATACACACATGCATCCATATTCACATACACACTAGCACGCACATGTATACATACATGCATGCAGACGCCCACATATATGCACATACAACCAAACAATATACATAACTGCATAAACACACACAATAGACATGCATAGGCGCATCACCGTATACGCAACCACACATACACACAACCATACATACATGCATGCATACCTACATACGCATTCATGCACATACAGACGCGTCCGTACGTACATAACTACATACACACATACAGACACGCACACATACATACAAACATACATATGCACATGTGCACACATACAAACGTAAACACATACATACATACACACATCAATACACACTTACACACATACATGCATTCATACATCCATATCTACCGACCTATCGACCTACCCACCTACCTACCTACAAACATACATACGCGCACACGTGCACCCATCACTCCATGCATATATACCTGCACACGTGCATGTATGCATACATGCATGGATGTATGCACGCTCATGCATGCACACAACCATACATACATGCATTCAATAGGGCATGCATACATACATGCACACACATACACACCTACATATATACATGCATACATACAGGTACATAGACACACGTACATACCCACATGCATACACACACATATACAACAAAGCATGCATGCATGCAAACACACATGCTTACAAGCGTCCATACAGGCATACATCCATAACTACATGTGCACATACGTACATACATACATCTATACATACGTAGCACCCCGCAGATGCGAATAAGAGTGAGGGGGCGGTGGGGACGTCGGCAGTTTGCGATACTCTGGAGAAGCCCGCCGCAGGCGACACAATTTCACAAAATATGCACCGAGCCCGCCGCGGGCACCGGTTTTTTCGTCAAACCAATGTGGGTAGGTCGCGGGAGGGGTCGCGGGTGGATCGCGGGTGGGTCGCTGTTGGGTCGCGGGTGTAGAGAGCAGAAAAAACACCCTAGAATAATCACCCCGGCAAGCGAAGTCGTGTGGTAAACGCACACAAGGGATGAATCAAACAGGGCTGGGCTGTCTAATAAACGCCCAAGGCCGTTTAGTAAACGTCAAGTGTCGGGTCCGGGTGGTTTCATAAATTCATATCAACGTCCATACGTGCATATACACAACTACATGTATACATACGGACATACATACATATATACATACGTGCACGTGTGTGTATACATATATATATATATATATATACACGTAGCACCCCGCAGATGCGGATAAGAGTGAGGGGGCGGCTGGGGCGGCGGTAATCTGCGATACTCTGGAGAAGCCCGCCGCAGGCGCTAAAACTTCACACAGTATACAACGAGCCCGCCGCAGGCGCTGATTTTTTCGTCAAACCAATGTGGGTAGGTCGCGGGAGGGTCGCAAATGGGTCGCGGGTGGGTCGCCGTTGGGTCGCGGGTGGGTCGCGGGGGTAGAGAGCAAAACATCCACCCCATAATAATCACCCCGACAAGCGAAGCCGTGTAGTAAACGCACACAAAGGATGAATCGAACAGGGCTGGGCGGTCTAGTAAACGCCCGAGGCCGTTTAATAAAGGTCAATTGTCGGGTCCGGGTGGTTCTCCTTCCTTGAAGGTGGGTCGCGCGGTGGGTCGCGGGTGGGTCGCGGTGTGGGTCGCGGGTGGGTTGCGGATTGGTCTCGGGTGTGCCGCGGGGTGGGTCCCGGGTGGGTCGCGGGGTGGGTCGCGGGTGGGTCGCGGGTGTGTCGCGGGTGTGTCGCGGGGTGGGTCGCGGGTGGGTCGGTGGTTGGGTCGCGGGTGTGTCGCGGGTGGGTCGCGGGTGGGCCGCGGGGTGGGTCGCGGGTGGGTCGGGGGTTGGGTCGCGGGTGGGTCGCGGGGTGGGTCGCGGGGTAGGTCGGGGGTAGGGTCGCGGGTGGGTCGCGGGTGGACAGACGACAACGAACAACAACAACAACAACAACAACAACAACAACAACAACAACAACAACAACACCAACAACAACAACAACACCAACAGCAACAACAACAGCGCAACAAGCAGAACTCGCACCACGACTTCCCTATTCAGCCACGCAGCCAGGGACAATGAATGACCGTTCGGCCCTCTCACTCTGACATCCACACGTACATACATGCATGCATACATGCATACATATATACAAATATACATACACACATCCTGCATACAAATCGACATACATATACACATACGTGTATATATACATACATGCATGCATACATACACATATACACACGTACATACGAACATACATGCGCACATACGTGCAATGCATGCATAGACCTTGCTATGCACATACGCATACCTACATACATACAACTCATATACACTTACACCTGTATATATGTAGGAACCCGCAATTGCGGAAAACAGTGAGGGGGCGGGCGCGATGTAGGTCGGGGGTGGGTCGCGGGCGGGTCGCGGGTGGGTCGCGGGGTGGGTCGTGGGCGGGTCACGGGTGAGTCGCGGTTGCAAATGATTATGGAACAAATCTCTGAAGATGAAATTGTGCGTGCGCATGGTTCTTTCGCTTAGGGCGGTGTGGGGATTGTCGAACCCGGTTCGGCTTGGATGGGGCAGAATGATGTGTAAATTGAACATCTCGACGGGGTGCTCATAATCCCGGGGGGTGTATATCCTGATTAATTCAAGGACAGGGGAATGCATGTTGTGCACTCCAGGGCTGCGACGAGGTGGCGACGGCGGCCACACAGCCGCCAGACCGAAGACACGGCCCAGCTCCCCAGAAGAACGCCATGAAGTGCAAACACTGTTTGGGGAATGATTTTTTAATACTTCAGAGGCATCCGCTTCTTCGATCCCACGGCGTCTGAGACTGCCGAAGAAGCCCGCGGATCATCCCACACTAGGCCAATAGTGTTTTAAGCCAGGCCAAGAAAGCCCCAAAACTATCCACCGGGGACCTGGCAACGGCCCCAAGACAAAACCCCAAGACGTCCCAAGATGACCTGAGAGCAACCCGAAACACGACCCACGTCGGGACTCGGTCGTTGAGGGGATCCGCAGTTGGCAGCAACATGTCCCAAGAAGCCCCTAGAGGCTCCCGAAAGGCTCCCAGGAGGCCTCCAGAGGCCCCCGAGCCCAAGAAGCCTCAAGACGCCTTCGAGCGGCCCTGTAGAGACCTGCCTAGAAGTACCCCCCGCCACAAACACTACAGAGGACGGGGAATGGGGGTTACATGGAAGGACAAGACCAAGGAAGGGGAAGAAGGAAGAGTAAGGACGAGAGAACAATAACAATGACGATTACGACTAGACCGAACACGGATGCACCTATAGTATCTGCTGTGTGCTATGGATATCATTGTTTTGTGTTTTCTCCCTCTCTCTCATTTTTCTTTCTCGTCCAAGCTAGGGTGTGGCGACACTTGAAGGACCAAGGTACCTGGCGCGAAGCGCCAATGCGATGCTTCATGTAAGCACACGTGGTACAAGCATTTCAAATATGCACATACAGATGTTAACAAATGTGTACAAATGGCACGTGCGTGCCCCTTGCTGGTGCTACGATAGTCGCAGGATTTGAGCAAGAACAATGGGGAGATGGCAAATGAACGTTCTTCCTGACAGTCTTGAATGATGCCGGGAGGTGCTCAGAATGCGGTGCA